TGTTCGCACCTCTTCCTGTTTAGCAAACGGTAGACGTCTTGGATTTTGCTTGATCGGGGGATGATCGCCGGTATCTATTTCTATGTTGTGTCAAACTAGGTTCGACCCACGTCAGAAGACGAGCGGGAGAAAACGGTGTTGGAAAAACTTGAAGATCTTTAATGACGCGATTCGGCAGCATTCCTCTCTTCATCGTTTAATTGCGCATTCTGCAATAACTCCGATGTAATTCTCTCTGAGGACACGGATTCTTGGATGTTTACTCTTTCTTTCAATGCAACGGTGGTTACTGGAGTACATGCTGCAACCACTTCACCTTTCTTAATAATTCTCCCCTTCTCAGTTACATTGGCGACTCTCACCGGGATAACCGTTCTGGATAGGTCGACGAGTATTGAGGCTACTAGTACTCCTTTTGGGCTATTACAGTTATTGGGATATTCTATGATGCCGTAGCGAAAATTTCTGTTTTCGGCTATGGATCCAGGAAGTAAAATTTCTGTTCTTGCCGGTATTGTGATATTGTCTTGTGCTATGATTTTATGGACAGATTTAACTTCATCATTGACTCCAAATAACGCTATGTCCTCAGATGTAGAATGCAATTCGTTATTTTTAAAGTCCAAGGAAAAATTGTATTTCCTTAGAAAGTCCAATCCGAGTATGCAAGAATCAGTGATCTCTGCTACATATGCCGTGTGATGGTAAGCGGCACTTCCAAACGTGATGTTAGCATTTACTTTTCCATCGATGTTGATCTTCTCACCGGACACAGTCTGTAGGGTAACGCAGAGCGGCGTCCAGATAAGTTTGCTTCCCAGTTGGTGAGCCAAATCTTTTCGGATGATGGTAACGTTGGCTCCTGTATCTATCGTCATATTGCAGGGAACTCCATTAATATGTCCTATTATGAAAAGTCCATTACTGCCGCCTCTCACTGCAGAAATCTGAAGCGCTTTAAACTGGGGCTTTTCATGATCTGGCAACCTCCGCCCCGCGAGATGGCCACTAATTAGTTTCCCTGCTGTTTGTTAGGAGCGGTCTTAGCATCCGTGCCCTGGGGTGTTCTGCAGTTTCGTCGGATGTGTCCTTCAGCACCGCAGTTCCAGCACTTTACGGTCGGTTTCTTGTCACCAATATTCTGTCTCAAGGCGTTCAGTTGTCTAGTTAAATCGTCTAGACGAGCAGTGACTTGATCCCCTGGCTCCTGGACTTGAGCAGCTCTGACTGGATGGCGGTCTCGACGGTTGGCTTGCTGGGCTGCCTCAAATTTCATGGCATACACTAAAGCGCTTTTCAGATCTTTAACATCCGCCATTCGCAGTGCTTTCTGTATTTCAGGGTCCCGGATGCCATCGATGAAATATTGCAGGGACAGGATTTCCCTTGTTTCTGTCGGGCACTCCGAAAAGGCGTGATGTGACAGCCTTTCAACATCCGTGGCGAGTTCCTGAAGTGTTTCGGTGAGCTTCTGTTGACGGGATTTTAATTGGAGCCTGCTGTAGTCTTTTAAACATTTCTCCCCGAAGCGCAGCTCCAAGGCGCCGGACAGAGTTTCGAAATCTAACCTTTTGTTTTCGGGAAGAGTCTGAAGGATATCCGCTGCGTCGGCTCTTAAAGAAGCGGCGAGATGACAGGCCTTAGCTTGGGAATCCCATCCATTCGCATCCGCCACGATAGAAAATTGTGTGTTATACACCTGCCAGGAGGTCTTCCCATCATATGTTGATAGCTTCAGAGAGGGACGAGCAGGCATGGGTAGAAATTTTAAACCATCCGAAGTGCTCCCTGCCGTCGCTACGAATTTCTTTAAAGTGTCAACTTCTTTGGCGACGACAGCAGAAATTCTGTCTTCGATTTGTTGTTCAATATGTCCTTGAACGGCAGAAACTCTATCTTCAATTTGTTGTTGGAAGGCCGAAACTCTTCCTTCGACTTGTCGCTCCACAGCCGACACTCTGTCTTCTATTTCATCTTTGACAGAAGAAACCTTTTCTTCAATTTGCCCAACTTTATTTTCAACCACATCTATCCTACCTTCCATAGCATCGAATTTGGTTTCTATTATGCAGGCAATTTCTCTTTTCATTTCGTATTGACTTTCTTCAATCTTTACTTGTACGGCTTTTATTTCGTCTTTAAAAGTTAATTGACCAGCTTGAATGGCCTTCATCTCTTCCTTAACGGATTCTTGGCCCAATTTCATCTCGCCTTTAATTTCTTCTTTAACGGAGTTGACGGCTCCTTCCATCTTTTCTTGAAAAGCAGCAAATGCAGTCATCATTTGCCTGAATTGTTCTTCCATCGCTCTTGTTATTGGCATTCAAACCCCACTCCTGACACCAAAAATTGTTGCGTGCGTACGGGTTCATTATGAAATGAATGCACAAGTCCAATGAAAAATGAACAAAAATTTATTATTATCACAACAGAAATGCTTAAATTTTCTCAAATTATCATGCAGTATTACAATATCTCACAGTAGTTATCTTTTAACTACTCAAATGTCCAATAGAACGTCATTCAAAACAGCTAAAGAACGCTAATCCGCGAATTCGCTACAATCAACAAGAGCAGTTTTCTAAACAACAACAAACTAAGCAACTACTACAAACTGAGATGTTTTCCTCCTTTTATAAGATTTTAAAATCACGCGCTAGAATTTTCCAGCACTTTCTCGAAATCAAAAAGAGATATTTATTTATTTAACGCACGCGCTCTTGTATTTTTAATTTTTCCGGCTTAGCTTTCTTTTAATATTCGTCACGCGCTGCACTGCGCGAGAAATAAAACCATTTAATTTATAATTGAACTAACATTAGCTTTTTAAATACCAAATTCGTAACAATATCTTTTCTTATTTCTAACAGCAGGATAATTTGATAACATCTCATCCAGGCGGTCCACTCCTCCCATTTTGTTGTAATCTTTTACAATTATTGGTTTTTTTACAGTTCTTTTCCGTGTTCCAACATTTATTATGGACTGTACTCATCATATCCTTCTTGTCTTTCCAATTCACAACCTCATTTTTTCATTTTTTCTGCTGAGTAGACGTTGAAGCCATCTCTCACTGTAGAAGAACGCTTGAGGCGCATTACGGCCGCCCTGCGGAAGTTTCACTTGAACGCGCTAGACACGTTACGGACGACAAAGAAATTAATCAAAGAGGATAGATCAGAAGGAAGGGAATCAAACTATAATTGAAACCACGGCGACAGTTTTTATTCTGAACAGCTTTTGTCTATAGTTGGTCCGGTGGCGCAGTGTGGCTAATGCTTCGCGCAGCGGCTCCACAGGTCCGGGTTTCGGCTCTAGGGCTGGGCAAAGTTGACTCAGCCTTTCATCCCTTAAGTGGGTCGAAAGAATGAGCACCAAGTTCGCTTGCAGACCAAACACGGGGGTCCTGCGACAAGCTGACCACTTGTTCAGGGCATTTGCTCACGCACCGCGAGGCCCACAGTCAAGAAAGAAGATTTCGGGGCACTGCAGGCATGGCCTACTAGGGCTGTTGCGCCACTGAGTTTAGTTTAGTTTAGGTGTCTATAGTAATAATTTCTACTATGTTAAAACAAATTAACAATCATGCCGCATAAAACTGTAAATTTATTAAGTTATTACTTTCAACCCCATTCAAATACCCCATAAATATGTTTCACCTCCTCCAGGGAAAGTTTTTAGCTTAAAGTTGGCGTCGGTTTCAATTTCAAATAAGCTCTCTTTTTCTGCTGTAATCTTCATTATTCTGAAACTGGATAATATCTCATGTTACGTTAAATCAAAGTTAAATTTTAAGGTTCATCTTAGTTTATATATATATATATATATATATAACAAAGAATTTTTCAATTTTTCTTTTAGCACACGCAAGAGGTATTTGCGGCCTGAAATGCTTATGCAAAAATGATTTATTTCTATAAATGAAGAAATGCATACATTGATGCTGAAAGTACACTTAAAGAGAAAATTTTTTAATAAAATTTTTTAGTTTAGTTATCTTTCTTTAATTATTTCTACGCTGAAATCATCATTGCTGCCAATGCGTGAATTGTTTTCAAATAAATCTGAATGCTCACCTGCTTCATAGATTCCATTTTAAGAATTTTTTTTTCCCTGCAAATTTCATAAATAGGGTCAGCAACCTTCTACCTTGGCTGAATTTTATTGTTCATTACTCTCCATTTCTTTTGATGCCTATAGATTCAACACGAATCGTGGCATTGTCACTTAACCTATAACGTATTTACCCTCGTTTCTGCATATCTTCGTGGTGTAATTGGAAGCATAGTCGACTAGTATTCGAGTCCCGGTTTTGCACATTTTTCACATCCTCAGCTTCAAAAGAACCTAATAACTCTACAGTCCTTCCACAATCGGTTCATTTTTATCACTTTCAATCTAATAATCCCTGCATCATCAATATTCTTTTCTTCTGAGACTGATTTTTCGCTTCATACCACTTGGTTATTAATTTCACCCAAACAACAAATATAATGATTTGGCCTCTCCTCCTCCTAAAATCCAAGCTCCTAAGTCTGAGTGTTACAGTCTAGGCGGTGTTCAGATCCTGGGAGTGATAATAAAATACTGTAGAATTTCAACGTAGCAGGTGCATGCGAAAAATTTTTTAAAAAGACATTTATAGGCATTTTAAAGGACTTATTTTATTCGTGAGCATTATACTACTACAGAGATAAAAATATTCATGTAGCAAATGTTATTCCTATCGTATACCAGTAATTGCAATAAGGAGATTTTTGTTTACCATATATTTTCTCCTTCTACTCTATTTTCCTTGATATTATGCAAACAGTAGATTTTTCCCAAGATTACTTTTTTGAGTTACGGCGTATGTTAAGCTAGAGATGCTAAAGTTTGAAAAATAACTCCAAATATTAACATAAGTCTTACGATCCTAGTTCCAATTTTTTGCATATTTTATGTTTTCCAACAAAAAAACTAAAACCTTGCATTAATTGAAGATTTTCATTTATTTTCAGTGCTGTATATTGAGATACGAAAGCTATATACTGAGAAAATGAGGAATCGTCAAATGTTCCCGCTAGTTATATGTTTACCATTGCTTTTTGGTGTTTGGATGTCAGTACCAATCGATGTAAAAGGTATGCATAGTTTCAATATTTTCGTTTTTTTAATATTAGAAACAAAATCCGTATCTTTATGGGAGTTGGTTTTCTTCGCTAACATTAAATATAACTACATCTACCTAAGTATTACTCTTTTGCGAATTTTCTCACAAGCTTGAAGGTGAACATAACTAGGGGAAGGGTGTACAAAACTCTTTTATTGAACATAATATTTTTTACAGACGCACGGACTGTAAACAATATTATGTTTTACAGCCACCGACCATTTGTGGTGAGAAACTTAAAATAAAATGTAACACTAAATTTAAAGGTAAACAGTAGTGCAAGGCTACGCAATTCACTTTACCAGGTTGATTCAGAACCTACATCGGCAGGATAATAATTCAACGGCAAGAAGGAGAAGCCTATATTCAAGATTAACAACCGGAAGAAATAGCAACGTGCGCTCACAGTAGCGAAATCCCGCTCTGACTAAACTCTCTCTCTCTGTAGAATGGTGTTTTGAGACACCAGGGTGCTTGAGCCAAGGCTCTATTCCTTGGAGAACAGTTTGATCAATTTGAAAGGTAGTATACAATAACCGAAAGATACATCGAATAGGTTTCCCCCCTTTTTTTTAATATTTTTGTTAAGGTCAGATAAGAATATTGTTAACGTATTAATATCAATGGAGTTGTTGTCTAAATTAGTGAGAGCAGAAAAGTCGAGAAACTGGTGACTGTGACAAGAGTGAGGTAGTGGAAACATAGGCAAATTGAATCCATTAAGAATTATCAAGTACACAACATCAAATATTAAGACTTGGACCTGAAATAATTATATTCAGATATCTATAACATACACAAAAGTGAGAATGCAGACAGAAAATTTGAAGTGTAGAAGATAAGAGGAATGAAAATAAATACATAAATAAACACATATGTCAAATTATTAGAGTCGCATATTACATGATCCATACATTTAGTTGAGACATAGGCCTATCCATATTTTCCAAACTGTTATAGTCGTAATCACAGATTTTAATGCCGGGATTATCAATATTTTGCTGCCTTTCATAAATTTTTTTGGCTAAGTTATAATAATGAGTGCGCAGTAACTCAATGCCTAACTCTTCATGTATTCTATTATTCTTTACATACCATTCAGCATTTACAATTTGTCATAGAACAGTATTCTGGCAGACTTGCAATCTTTTCCTATGAGTTTTCTTGGTATATGCCCAAACTGGACTTGCATATCACAAAAGTGAACGTAGAATGGACTTGTAAATGAGTAACTTGTTGTCAATAGATAATATACTAATTCAGAAGTCAAACAACAAAAATCAGCGTTATATTTACAAAATTATTTACAAAATAATATACTGTTTCAAGCAATTAAGGGGTATAGTTTGGCTTTACGAACTCGAAACTTCTGGATAAGTGACAGTTACTAAAATTTTCACTACACCCGATAAAATATACTCCGTTCACCCTATTACTTCGTGGTTTAACTGGAAGCACATCCGACACGTAATCGGGGAAGGGGGGGGTTCAGCAAAGACTGTAACCCGTACTCTGCTGTATGAAAAGGGCCGGATTAATACTTTTAGAGGCCCTAAGCACTAAAAATATATTAATGCCCCCACTTACATTTACGCCAGTTTGTCTCATTCCATCTCTGTCAGTTTTGGTTTAGTTGTGGCTTGCGTTCCATGCTAAAATTGACAATGGGAAATTTTTCAGGGATGCCTCCTTTCCTTGATGTCCTAAGCACGCACTTATTTTGCTTAATGGTTAATCCAGCTCTGTGCATGAAAAAGGAAAAACCAAAGTGCAGTTTCTGGAAAGAATTCATGGTATGTAATCAGTAACAATGTCTCCACGACAAAATGTCTAAGCCAATGCTACAAGAAGAGCATTTTCCTAACCGAAACTACTTACAGACGTTAGTCAGGAAAAGGCCAAAATGATTACACAAAGAAGAAATTAAGAGACTATAGCTGCTGAATTTTTATGATATTATATTAGTGGGAAATAAAAGTAACTGAATTATCTTGTTCAAGACGTTAGTGCTATAGAGTTCTTCTGCATAACATCTTTTCAAAAACAGCTCTTTTATAACTCTGTTTTAATACATTGCCTAAATAGCATTTGTCATTCCCTATAATGCATAGGGAAAATATATCTAAGCTTAAAATAATTCAAACCTTTTTTCATAGCTTATAAACAACTAGCATTCTGAATACTCTCTGTACATTTTAAGGAATGCCTGTTTTTAGTACAATACCCTTAATAGGTACCTAGTCAAACTGCAAAGTTTACCACATTTCTGCACGTGGCATAGTCAATAAATAAACAAACGGCTAAGAGGATTTTTATAATACTGATGAAAGAACTGCAATGTGTGCCGGTTCTACACTATTCCTAGCTTGTCAGAATTCATAATTCGCATATGCCAATGCTAGCTCTCCTGAGTGCGAAGATTGACTGAGAAAAGAGTACTAAATATTAATCAATATATTATTATTTCAGTAAATATTTCTTATCGAGCAATCTTTAATACCTTGCTGTTTTTATTCTGATCTTTTAAACAATCTTTATACAGGTGCATCAGATATATTTCCAAATATAGCATGTAAGAATAAAGATGACTGTGCTTCAATCAATGGCTCCTATTGTCAAAGTGGAATTTGTGAGTGTCCGGAAAGTACTCCTATCTTCGTAAATGTTTCCAAAGATCAACTATATTGTCTGCCAAGTAAGTGCAATAATTCCTATTATAAGTAAGTATACACAGTTTTTCTTCAATAATTATCAATACAATGTTTTTTGTAGAAAAATTTATTTCAAAAAGGCACTCTAAAGAAAATGTTGCAAAAACATAAGAAAGCAGCATTTTTTGCACAGTGATTCAATTCGGAAACAAATTAAAATTTCCATTTCAGAATTAATAGCTTTCAGGAAACTATTTTCTCTCAAAATGTAGTTTCTGAACTCTTTTGCTTCAACGCGTTCTTTCAGGTTACTTTTTATCATGCTTACGTTTCGAATTTCTTCAATGCCACCATAACTTTGCAACAATGAGATGTTCTTTCAATCCAATATGTAGGCGTTAACTAAATACGAATTGGAACTCAAAGATATTAATTACATTTGCGTTGCATCGTCTTATTAATTAAAAATCATCACGCAGTGCAGAGGCAGTAAGATTATGGACAAATTGCTCAGTGGATATACTCGGGAATCATTCTCTGTAGCTACTTTTCATCCCAGCTCCATGTTCATGTAGCGATGCATAAGAAATTGCATGAAGAATAACAATTTACGCCTGAGGAATGTTTTCACGTACTGTTTCAACAGTGCTCTGCATCACTTCAGCCAAGTACCTTAACAAACACGTCTCTCAACACACACATTCTACTACAGAATCTGCTTACGCCAGTCCCCTCTAACTGCCTTTACATTTCTGCCAGACATTTTTTAACCATCCTATATGATATAATAAGTTTAATCATGGAGCTGTAAATGAGACCATTTTCAAGTTACATACTTACTATTTGATGTTTTTTTTTTTAATAATACATTATAAAATCTTAAAAGTTTTGCTAGTTTTTTGGGGCATGTAGTTTATATGCTTTGTATAATTTAATTTTGAATCAAGGATAAATTATCATGATATATACCTGCTTCTGACGGCAATGCATGTGAATACTTGTATGGCATGAACTCACAGAAAGATCGAACCCTGTGCTTAATATTTCCTTTCAGATATTCTATAATTTCTCAGTAAATTCATGCATGTCGCGAAATAGTTATAACTGATGCCTTAACATATTATACAATGCTAACCATTAAAATTGCTATACCATAAATGTGACATGCAACAAACGTCAAATTTGCATAGAAGGTACTACATGCTGGAATATTAGCACCGAGCGCATGCGCATAAAATAGGTATGAGTAACACCATATATATATTGTGTATAAATGGGATGATTGTGCAGCGGGTATCTCTCTTGGAAATCGCATTTGAAAGTTGTTTGGTTTGTACAAGTTATTCCTCGTGCAAGAAGAAGAAACTCCTACCAGCATATGTAGGAATTCGATGGCGGAAATATCAAGGCCTATCGGGACTGCGGTTTATTGTTCTGGGCATTACTTCTCTTGTTGGGCAGGATCTCATGATTGGAAAGAAAATAGGCAATCAATGGGTCCAGGTAAACCATACTGAACTCCAAGCAGGATCTTAACGGCCTCGGGCCACTAACACCCGAGAGGATAGACATATTGTCCATTCGGCTTTGTGGGATCAGACAGTCATACTGTGTACCCTTAGTCAAGAACTTGGCTTGTACGTATGATCACAGGTGCTCACGTGAACAGTGAGAAGACGTCTGCAGCCCCGTGTACTGTCATCAAGGCAACGATTGTTGCTGCTTCCCTTGATGCTGCAGCAAAGACAGGCGCGCCTACTGTAGCGCAACAAACGACGCCGCTGGACACAAGAATGTTACGGCGGCGTCTTTTCAGACGAATTCCGGTCCCGCATACAGCATCATGATTGAGGTATCCATGTGTGGAGGCACTAAAGAGAACAAATACTTTTAGCTTGCATTCTTCATCGTTATAACGGGTACAGCGCTTGGCGTCCTGATGCGCCGATGATACATGTTCGATTGTTGCCCTGACCAGCTTCTCAATCATTAGAACTTCTGGTAATCAATTACAGACAGACTAGCACGACTCGCCAGGTCCTATGATTGATGAACTCCGACACAGAGTTGAAATAGCATGGAATGAAGTACCGGTATCTTTCATCTAAGCTTAGTTCGACCTGATGCCCAGCCGGATTACAGCTTTGTTTCTGTTAGAAGTTGCAGCTCTGCACACTGTATATATCAAACCATCTGCAACTTTAATCGTGTCTTCCTCCTATTATACTGCACATGTACAATAAATAAGATTCTGCTAATTGCTTTCTTTCCTGATGCAACACTTTTCATGGCTATGAGTGCTTGAGAGGGAAAGGTTAGGAATTCTAGATGGTTGTGACGCTACGCATTCTTGGAGACATTTTTCTGAATTTCCTGGAGACTTTAGTAGTGTACAAATGAATTTTACATTGTTGAAAGACTGCCCTCCTACAACAGATATGGCAGCAATGGCAATTAAACAAACTGCAGGATACAGTCGAGAAAATAAAAATTCGTAAATATAAAAGAGTATCATTTGCTGCTGAAATGCTTTTGAAAGAAAAGGCAAGAAGTACTCTGTTTAGTATTTTTTTTTTTAATATTCGGTTTGAAGTAAACCGAATATACATGAATTGTGAGGCAGACACAATAGTTTGGAACGATATAAAATAGATCTGAAAACGTAAAGATAATTCAGCTTCATTTTTATTTTATTGCCATCATACATAATATGGAAAATGATGCAGAATTAGCACCATTTGCGTGTATTACTGCGTGATGAATATCATTACTGTGCTGAGGAGGCTATAAAACAGTACATCTTAATATTTCTGCCTCCAAAGCATCAAACATATGGTATAAAGTGTTCTCGTGTAATTTATCACCTGAAAGAAACTGGAAGTTGATTGCAACTAATGGGAACGGGCAAGAACAAGATGATAAATGATACTATAATCTACATTACTGTGGATCCATAATCAAACTCTAGATAACAGGGAAACGTTAGTGCTGTCAGAATTATGTGTGTAGAAAGTATTAGGTAACAACGGAGACCATCTGTGTACATGTACTACATTTGATTCCCATGATAATGGAAGACAGACAATATGATATTTCTAATTGTATTTTAAAATTATTATTTCAAAATGCATTCTTCCCAAATGATTTTCTTTTCGATAGATCACATCATGTTTTCTACTGATGGAGTTTTCAACAAACAATTTATAACACTCACTATTGGATGACTCAGATTCCTCTCTCTTAATGATTTAGAAACATTTATTGACCTTAAACCTTTGACTAAGAATAAAAAAATAAAAAAAAAAAAAACTTTCTTACCCCGGCTTCTATCCAAGTCATACATAAAGGAAAACGGTTTTCAAGCCCAAGGTTGGGGACACATATGTCCCAGCCATAGTTAATTGTGAGATACATATGTCCCACACCTAGCGATAGACTTAAATATAAGCACACCTATTATTTTGTAAAACTTTATTATATGAAATAGATTTGCATCGTATAGCCCAAGGTAAAAGGCATTCTTTGCATAACCCAACATTACACATTGGGTAGCTCATATTTCTTCTTTTCTCTGGGTTCATTTGTGTACAAGGAGTATAGCGGCGTCTTGATTTTCCAACTATTGCAAGATGATCCCCATCATTCAGGAGATTCTAAGTACTTTTTAACCTAGCAGTCATTTTTAAACTTTTAACGGGACATATATGTCCCGTTAATAGTCAAAGAGTTAAATAAATACTGCGTTTATTAAGGGCATTTTTTAATTCCGCTTTCACGATAGCACATACATCTTTATGGTTTTCAAGGTTTAATATGTATCTTTACCAGTGATATTCTCTGAAAATTCCTGTCCACAAATGATACTAACAATGCCGCCGTTCTTTTATTTAACCATGCTTACGTCCATGACTTACTTAGAAATATTTCTGAAATATGAATTTGTGGTATGGAGGTTCTGTGAAATAATCTCCATCTTCCCATGGATATCTTCCACTCGAATAAGTGAAGGCTAAAGTCTGTGCTGTGCAGCTCGAAGCCGCGCAAGATGGTAAAAATCGCGTTATTGAGGCAGAGCCGTGGCCAAGGAGGTTTTCCCTGGCGTTTAAATCTGAAATGGAACTGAACAACTGTAAGCTGCATGCACCGGAATGCGTTTGCCTATTTTATTTCGTCTGCGAAGCATAACATTTATTTTCTACAGCTCGTCGCTTGAAGCGTTGCAAATTTATTGTATCGAAAACTTGCAGTCCCTTACTTAATAAACTCAACTATTGAACAATTCACTCGAAAAGTAAGCCTTGAACTCTTAACCGAAAGTTAAATGGATACTTAAGAACCTAAGAGACAATTCCGTGTACAGTTTTAAAATGTGAAAATGCGCAATACTTTTTTTTTCTTCTTGAAGAGGAGAAACCCACTCCTCTGTCCTTCAAAATGCAAAGAGTATTTCTATAGAACCGAAGACAATAAATGTTTGAATTTTGCCTGATTTTGAAATGACAATGCATGAATATTATTAGAAATATATGTATAGTATTTCATAAAATATTTATTAAAATGTTAGCTAAATCTATGACACATTAGTAAAACTTAAATTTGTCTTCTGTCAGTAGAAAATGCTGAGTGCATAAGGTTTTCAAGCTTTCATTATGTTCAGAGTAAAAATAGAGCAAGTTTCCTTAAAAGTCTTCCATGAAGGCATCCTTCTCTACAGGCAGACAACGGTCATGCATTTTGAGACAATCAAGTAATCCACTCCTAATTAATTTTCGTTCGTTGAAACAGAATTTGAAATATCTTTACTCATGTATAGTTTTTCGTAGATGCTGGAGAAATTACATTAGGAATCCTTAGTTTTAGAAAACACTGAAGCAACTACAACTTAGAGATGATTCACGAAAGCTGTTCGGTTTTTTTAGATTTTAGACTCAATTCGGGGGAAAATTGATAAAATTTGAAATAGTAAAAGGTTATCTAGCTTCACTTGGAGAAGGAGAATTATCAAACATAGTCAGTTGAGTTGCCAAGCACAATTATGTTGAAA